TTGAGGAAGAAAAGGTTTATTTAGTTCACAGTTTGTGGAAGTTTCAGTCCCTACTCAGCTGGCTCCAAGGCAGAGAGGCACATGGCAGAAAGCAGCAGTTTGTGGCAGTTTTCTTATAATCTTTAAAGATTAAGTTTTCCATGTCAAAAATGGCCATAAAGGGCTGGGGAGATAGCTCAGTAGAATAAGTGCCTGCCTGGCAAGCGCAGGGTCCTTAGTTCAATCCTCGGTACCGCCGGGTGGGGGTGGGGGCAGAATGGCCCTAAAGAGAAGATTTCAGAAGCAAACCAAGAGCGCTCCTTCCAGTCGGTACACCAAGGGCTCTTGCTCCTCAGAAAAGCACCTCTCACCCACCTCAGCCTCATGGTTAGGCTTCCTGGGTTGGAGCGACTCCCTCTCCTCTAGCGGCACTCTTTTCCTCCAGGGCGGGGAACTGTGGAGCTTCCCTTGGAGTTTCTTTCCTTTGGGAAGAAGTAGACCTCAAGGGATTTTTAGAAAGCAAGCACACAAAATTATTTCACATCTAACCAGGTGACCCCAGCACTCAGGAGGCTGAGGCAGAAAGATTCCAAGCTCCAGGCCAGCCTGGGCTACATAGGGCATTAGATGTCAGCTCCAGCTATATAGCAGAACCTTATTTTGAGAGAAAAAATTAAGAAGAAAAGGTACTTTTACCTGGAATCGCATGTGACAGATGCTGAGAAGTGAAGTGGGCCTGAGGCTGGACAGCTTGGGAGCGGGAGACCCAGTGCCCGAGGAAGGCCCTGGGCACTCAGCAGTGAGAAGCTTCTTGTACCCGGAGAGAGATCATTAAAACCCCACCCAAGGGCCAGGGATGTAACTCAGTGGCATAAGCGCCTGCCTGACAAGCACAAGGTCCCAAGTTCAATCCCCCATACCAAGAAAAGGGTCATGAAGACCCCACCCACAGGATGACACTACCCTTCCAGGTGAAGTCAAAGAGGGTAGGCGAGGGTTCTGCAGAGCCCGAGGGGCGGCTTGCCCTGGGCAGCAGTAACTGCTGTGATGCCCTCAGTCTGAGTCTGTGGTTCCGGTTCCCACACAGGGAACCAAAGATGTCATATTCAGGGGACAAACACTGTCATTTTGCTGTCTCAGCAGCCCACCTGGAACTGTAAATTCAGCCCCTCCCTTTAGAGGAACAAAACTTAATGGAAGGAATACATTTTATTTGTAAAGAGGAAAAGGAAGACGGGAGGGGGATAGCTACCCTGATAAGAAAGAATCAGGGAAGGGGGCTCTGGAAAGATGGAGGACCCACAGGCCCTTTGTTCTCAGCTGCTTTTATGGGGACAGGGTCAAGGACCCTTCCCCCCCCACCCAGAACTTGGCATAACTGGCTTGGCTTCTGGGCACCTCTGCCTATATCTCTTCTGGTGAACTATGTGCAGCTTCTTTCTGTCTGTTTACTTATCCGTCTTTTCTCATTGCTGAGACAAAATACCCAACACCCGAAGCTAAAGGAGGAAAGGTTTACTTAGCTCATGCTTTGTCAAGGCTTCAGTCTATAATCAGCTGGCCCCAAGGCAGGGTGGCACGGCAGTGGGGCGTCACAGGGGAGAGCTCCTGGTGGGCAGAAGGCAGCAGATGTTTCTCTCAACATCTACCCACAAGTGGTAACACTGTTCTTGACCTACTTCTCAGGGCCTTATCTTTGGGGTAGGTGCTAGCTGACAAGGAGGACCTTATCGATGGTTAGCTTAGAGTTGGTAAAGGGACATGTGGATGCCTACCGTAGTCTAGAATGGATAATGCATCTTCGATGAATATGAATATGTGTGTCTGATCGTGCATAAGTGAGAGTGCATCTGAGCTTCCCCTCGTCAGACACACCACACACACACACACACACACACACACACACTTCCCAGCTTATCTACAGGAGATGGGAGGGCAGGCCATTTCAGTTCCTGGGCTTCATGCACTTGGTTTATCTGTACTCTGCCTGTCAGCTTTCTGCCTCTCGTGAGCTATAGCCACCCACTGCTATCTGTTTCTTTTCCATATCTGTTTTTTCTCTTTGTCTAGCCTCATCCTTGGCCCATTTCCTGGGGGAATTTCTTTACTAAGTTGATTTTAACTCCTTCTAGTCACAATTAGATAGAAGACCTAAAGATCTGCTATTCTACTTTTTTCCCTGACTCCAGACCCCTGACTCTGCAAACCCTCACAGCTGAGCCAGGCTCAGGCCAGGCATGCGGCTGGACCTGACACCTGGTTCTGTCCTTGACTGCCTGGAAACCTTGGGCTAGTCACCTCCCCTTTCTGGCTGGGGAAAGTGAAGGTGCTAGGTGTGATCCAGGTTCTCGGGGCCCTCTACCTTTTTCGCTGGGGTAGGTGGGTGTCAGTCTATTTTGGTTGCTGTGACGAAATCCTGTACCCTGGGTAATTCTGAGCCACAGGAATTTATTCTTAGTTCTAGAGCTTAGGAATTCCAAGACCAAGGTACTGGAAGATTCCAAGTCTAGTAAGGGCCTGTCCTCATGGACTGTGTCGTCACATGGTAAAAGGGACTCTGCAGCTCTCCAGGGCCTCTTTTATCAGGGCACTCACTAATCCTACTGCTGAGGGCTCCACCCTCATGACCAAATCACCTCCCAGAGCCCCTCCTGCTCCTAGCACTTGGGTTAAGGACTTGGGCATAGGAATTTTGAATTCAGACGAGAGCACTAGAGGCAGAACACAAACTGGAGTCCATCTGTCTTCCTGTTTCCTGGCTCTCAGAATCAACTGCTCTGTGTTCCACAAGCCCACTAGCTGGAGCTGGCTTCCTGTGCTCTCGGGGTTTGTGATCTTCCACACCTGTGTGACATAATTTAGCAAAGGACCAACCACTGGTCAGCAGCGGGCTTTGGGACAGCAGAGACCAGGCAGAGAGCAGTAAGAACGGCTGCGGAGGCCTGGCTCCCGTAGATTCTCCCCTGCTCGCACCACTCTGGGAGACCACCAGGTTAGCCGGAGACCTGGCTATCTGCTCAGACTCCAGCCTCTCTGCCCACGTTCTCTGAAGTGCTCTCATAGGCTACTCTGCCCACATCCCCTCCCAAGCTGGCGAACAGGGAGCCTTGCCAGGCTGATAGCTTATTAGGAGCTGCAGCCTTTTCCAATCTGTGCAGAGTAAGTCTCCCAAACTCAGTGGTGTTTGCCGCCACCTACTGGTTCTTAAAGGCACTGCATGTCCCCGACTAAGGGAAGCTGGGGCAGAGCCAGAACGGTTTGAACAAGGGACAGGGTCGGGCAAGGCCAGGAGAGCCCCTCTCCCTTCTACCCAAGAGGGTGAGGACCGTTTAGGACACCTCCTGCAAGTCACATAATGACCACTTGTTACCGTCATATCTCTGTGCCCTGCACCTTCCTGGGTTCAACCCACTTACTTTCCTCATTGGGGGATTTGCAGGTGAGGAAACTGAGGTGTAGAGAGGAGAGTGGCTGAGTGGCTCACTCAGGTCACAGGGTGAAGGCTGGGGCTGAAAGAAATGACCTTAACCCACACACTACACCCTCCCAGATAGCTCTCAGCCTGTCAGGCTTGAAGCTGAACTAGAAAGGGAGGGACGTGAGTGATTTAGTGCCTCTGCCCTGCTTCGGGACAGGACATCAACTTAGCCTTGCTCTTCCTATTTCAAAACACGTCTCCAGGGGCTGAGGAGATAGCTCAGTGGAATGAGTGCTTGCCTGGCAAGCGCAAGGTCCTGAGTTCGATCCCTGGATACCACAAAAAAAAAAAAAATGTAAGTCTCCATCCTGCACTGCCATGACAGGGTGGGTGACCCTACAGCCGTCAAACCCTTTATCTTGCCTCCAGCCTCCCAGCCTCCCCCCCACACTGTGGCGTCTGTGGGGACTAGACAGGCAGCTCCATGCACTGCAGCAAGAACGCGCTGGGTTACAGGTAGGACCAGTGTAACTAATTATGGCTCAGATCAGAGCCAGGAGTCGGCTTGTTTCTTCCAGCACGACGACTGGGGTAAGCAGCTGATAAAATGGCAGCTTGCGTTCAGGCCTTCAGGGAATCACGGGTCTGGCTCTCTGCGAACCGCTGCCTTTGTGCCGGTGCCCTCTGATCACAAGATAGTTACTGTACCCCTGGGCTCCTCTCTGGGGTTCCAGGCAAGAGGAAAGGAGCCACGCAAAGCCCCAAAGGATCTATCCAGAGCCTGTCTCTTTCAAAAGTCCCCCTAGAGTTTCCACTCACAACCAAAGAGCCAGGAGTCTGGAAGGGAATACCTTCAGCCCAGTGTCACTTCCCGAAGTGGCAGTGGCATTCCCTTAGTAGGGAAGGGAAGGTAGGATGTGGGTGGGCCCTGACGTCTGCCTTAGGTCGAAAATCACTGACCTGGCCCTAAGGGAAGAGCAGAAAGGTCCGGCAAGGCATAGAGAAACCCAAGGAAGCATCTGCAGAGAAGAGGGCAGCCCTGGAGGTCAGGGAGGGCAGAGCCTGGGGCGCTCCTTCCCCTAGGGTCCCTGGCCACAGTGTGACCTCGGCCAAGTCACATTCCCTCTCTAGAACTTGGTTTCTTGTTTAAAGCGAGCGACTCAGCAGGCTTAGGACTTCTCAAGCTTTCCAACCAAAGCCCCTACCAAGCAAAGGACCACAGATGAAGCACCCGTGCACAACACTGTCTACCTTAAGACGGCAGGAGAATTTTGCAGTTAAAGTCCTTTGAAGCTTCAATGACGTCAGGCAACATTAGGGATAAAGAAAATGCATGAATTAACAAAGAAGGTAAAAAGAAATGGAAACCTGAATAATTCAAAGGTTTACTTATTTGAGGGCTGGCCAAATAGCACAGTGGATTAAAGCACCTGCTTAGGCAGCAGCTGAGATTTCCATCCCTGGTCTGTCTTGCCAGCCCCACCCCAAAGGCACACTGAGACAGCGATTGAGGCACATGCTTGTAGTCCCAACTCTTGGGAAGCCGAACACAGGCAGGTCACTATGAGTCCGATCTACATAGTGAGACCCTGTAGACCCTGTACTAAAATAAAAAATAAAAAA